CCCAATGTTTCACTTGGTTGGGATAGTGCCAATGGTTAATGGAATGTCCCACTCTACTAAAGAATTTAATGGGAATATCCATTTGTCACAGTCGCACACTGTAATCTCCAGTAGCAGAGCCAATGGAAAATAGCACCGTACCATAACGTCCTCTACACACTGCAGGTGAGGGTGAGAGGCAGCAGCCTAACTGAACAGTCAGGGTAGAGAGCTTGGCTTTTCTAGGACTCCCTTTAGAGGAAGATGTGGATTTCTTTTATTTGAGACAATAGTGCTGTCTGACAGCAACAAGAAAAGCTACCCTGTAGAAAAAGAAAGTGTACTTCTTTCAAGTGAAGAAAAGTGTACATTTGCATAGCATGTCTCAAAATCTCTAACTACCTCTTTTTCTACTACAACCCCACTTGAAGAAACTTTGGGTAGTGGAATCAGAAAGACCAGGATTAGACACTCATTTCAAACACCTCCTAGTCTTGAGTTTGAGCTTTCAAATCTGAAGAATAGGGAAAAACAGCATGAAAATTTGTCATGATACTGGTAGAATTCATAGAACTGAGTAAAAAAATTAGCATGGTGCCTGAGTTATCGGCTTCCTTTTTCACAATTTAGGTGGAATCATAGTGTAGTCTGATTACTTTATATGTGTATACCTTGTATTCCCAAATAAGTTAAAATTAAAATATTGTTTAGTTTAGGTACTGTCCTATATATATGTATTTTTAAAATCTCTGTCGTGGACCAGTTTTGTGTTAGGACAGGCAGTAAGCTACTGAGAACTGCTGTATGAATTAAATTTGAAAAACTCTCTCGAGTAAATGTTTTAACACCTATAGAGACTAATATTCAAGTTATTTGAGTATAATTATCTATTAATTATTATTCCATTTGTGCATTTAGCAACAAATTAGTGAAGCATATTAGCACCTGTAGAAGAGATCTAGATACTCACTTCTGTGCCTTATTAAACTGTTCACTGTCTTCAGAACACGTCATTTGAATCTATGTTGTATTTTTCAATTTGAACTGGATTTAATACCAACCACTTTAGCCCTCCAAAAGAAAACGTGATCAGCAACAGTTATTCAATGGCTTCGCTAATAATTTACAATCAGAATAGAAGTAAAAACATAAGACTTGAAGTCAAACAGCTGTAGGTACAAAATTCTAGTTTGGCCACTTAATAGCTATGTCAGCTTGCTCTCCCTGTTCCTGTTTCCTCACTTACGCAATGGGTCTAATAATACTTGCGTAGCTGGGCAGTTGTTAAGATTGGAGGTGAGTCAGTGACTTTGAAACTTTTCCTTTTATCACTAACCACACAACTGAAACATGTTTCATCAACCAATACTTGGTCCATATAATGCACTCTTCTATCTTTTCCTTCCTGCTTTCATTTCTTTTGCTTAAAAAACTAGTCATGACCCACTAGATTCCTGACCTGCCAAAGGTGCCTTTTGAAAACACTGGAACAGCATGATGTTTAGTACGTAATACAAGTATAACACATGACTACTATTATTGTCATTATGATTATTTTTAGTCTTTTTAGGATGTTTCCTGACAGATGAGAATAAAATCTTCTGAGTACTTCTAGGAACTAACTCTCTTGGATGGGGTCCAAAATAGACTCATACTCATCATATGCTGAATTATGCACTAGAGGGGGTTGTGCTGTAGCAAAGCTCCTGTGTGCTATTCATCACAAAATGTTAGAGCTGGAAAGGAACTAAAAGAATGTCTAGTCCCATTTATTTTCTTTCATGTAAGTATTTATAGTTTTAAAATATCCTGCATTTATTGCTCATTGATAAACTGAAAAAAAAATCAACTTTTTGATCCAGAACTGGAAGACCGTTAGGAGCAGAGGGACACTGCGCCATGATGTCCAGGTTTTGTTCTGCTTCTATAACTGAATTTTGAGTTAACGTAAACTCTCAGGGACTAAGTTTTCTTACCTGTGAAATGAAGTGATTTCAGCAGATGACTAGCCCACTTCTGATCTTTGACTTCAAATATCCAAATGGTATAACCCCGGCGTTATATTCGAAGCCACTGGGTGCTGTTTTGTTAAAAGCAGTTCTGAATTAGAGTGTTAATATAGGTACATCGGGCTGTGGTGTCACTGCATCCACTACTCAGAAGTGAACATTTAGCTCCTTAGTCCTATCTCCTCTTCTTCAGCAGCATCACCCTCTTTTGCACAATAATAGCTCAGACTCCCTAGCCATCCCTCCCACCCCTAAATCTTTCTTCCAAATGTTTGCTTGTAGTGGGGCAAAGACATCTAGGACCTCATGGTGTCAGGAAAGTTGGGCCTTTGGGCTTATATCATTTACTTGTACTGTCCTCTGTCTCCTCTGATTTACTTTCCACCTGCTTGTTGCTCACCTTGGTAATGATGATCACAAAGTTCTCTAGCTAGTTTAACTTGCTGCCACTAGGGTACATTGACAGTTCCTTGACTATGCTCCCAGATAGCAGTCAGATGTCCCAGCTGGGATCTTTTGAAATAAAGTGAGATTTGGTCAGATCTTCTTAGTCAGAAGTACATGTCTCTCTCTACCAAAAACAACAGCAGAGGAATACTACTGTTTTAAAAACTTTTGTTTGTTCCCCTCGTATCCAACTTTGCAAGAGGAAAATGAGGCTCATTGGTTTTTGGGGGAAAGCCATGGCAATGAGAAAGCCAAACGAGAGTTTACACCCTGAGTGAGAATCACCAAGGGATGCTCAGAGTTCTGGATCCATCTTTAGGGCACAGGGGGCAGGTGTTCAGCATACCTGCTCAGCCATGCAGTTCCTCGTGTCATGAAAAAGTTCGGAGGGTAAACCTGGCATTGGAATCTTGCACAAGAATAGATTTCTTCTTGATTTTCACTATAAGGCCAATCATTAAAAAAAAAAAAAAAGCAAGGAAGAGTCATGCCAGAATGATCCTCCCCGTCTCCCCTCAAATTGCTGGAAAACTAAACTTCATTTAGCAAGACTCCTTTCAAAACCATGTGACTTCTTTTTGGAGCACACAGTGGGCAGAGGATTACTGAACAATCCTTCGGTGCCTTTGAGGCGCACAGCATGCAGATGGTGAAAACAAATGGGCAGCCTGAAACAACAGTCAGGACGCAGGATCATTAGGCTGAATCTAAGGCAGTCTGCTTACCTTTGGCCTTTCAAACACATCCTCCAGCCTGTAGGAATAAGTATTGTGTGTATGTACTGGCCTGAACACAGAATGAGCAAGGGAAGTGGCTGGAGGCCCTGCCTTTACTTTATTTAACCTTTTGGACCAAATTGACAATAAAGTGTTAGTAGGCCAATAAATTGCCAATGGTGGCTTCCAGCTAGCTTCTAATTTTGTTCACATGCTAGAGATCCCAGGAGGAGTGAAGGTTAAAATGTGCCTCTTAGGTAACAGTCCACACAGCGGGCTCTGCGGATAAAGGGTTCTATGGATGAAGCTTGTATAGCCCAATAACTGGGTGCTTATCTAGGGAGCAGGTTTCATGGTGTCCTTCAGAGAAGCCAGGGATCAATGCATTTCCAAGATCAGAAAAGCAAGTAGCGTGGAAGCAAAGCGAGAGTATTACCCTAAGATTGATTCCATATTTCTCTTTCTTACTCTCTGACTCCAAAGTAGATCCTACAAGCATCCTCGAATGAGAATGCCAAGGTGAAGTGAGGCGGACACAAACTGTGTCTCGTCAAAGCGCGCTCCTTTATTATTACAACTGCTTGAAAGGGGGCGCGACCAGCGTTTTCTCCTGCCTTGCGCCAGGACGCAGAGCAGGAAGCGCCCGGGTTTGCATCTCTAAGGAGATGAGTGAATTTGTTAAAGAGGGTCTTTTCTGGACTGGTGGATGGATGTTGGGGAGTGACGTCACCCACCCCCTCCTCCCTCGTGTGTGTGTGTGTGTGTGTGTGTGTGAGAGAGAGAGAGAGAGAGAGAGAGAGAGAGAGAGAGAGAGAGAGAGAGAGAGAGGGGGCAGAGGGAGAGACAGAGGGAGGGAGAGACAGAGGGAGGGGGAGAGAGGGAGGGGGAGAGAGAAAAGGGGGGGGGGCGTGTACGCCTTTTTTTCCCAGTCCGCCCGGCCCTCTTTCGTCCAGCTCTCTGGCCCTTTCAGTGGGTCAGTGCTCCAGACTCAGGAGACTCAGGGATTCGCAGGCGGGCGCAGCGGGCCTGGCTCTGCCCGCGTCCCGGCGGCGCACCCACACTCACACTCTCCAGCTGGCAACGCGCACAAACAATCCCTCAGTGCGGGGCACCGCGATTCCGTGGGATCCCCAGCACGTTATAAGGATTTTAGAAAAGGAAACAAAGAGAGAAGCTTTCCCAATCACTTTACTAAGCTTTTTCAATTAATTTCCCCACCAACCACCTGGCCTCCAACCATAACCACCAGGTTCATGCCAGGTCCAAGAACAGGGCTGGACTGGCCATCCTACCTCTGGGCCCTTGACTCCGCTCCGGCTGGTTTGCAGGCGTCGTTTCACCCCCTCTCCCCGCCTCCCCTACCCACCCACCGCCAGCCTCAGTTTCTGGTTACCTCTCGCTTGCGCTTCACTTTTGGGGGGAAGAAGAGAAAGGGAGGAAGGCGCTGAGGGGGGGCAGCCGAGTTGCTATTTGTGGCCAAAGACTCCTCTTTAAAAGCAGCAGCAGGAAGGAGCAAACGAGAGGCGTGGGGGGAGGAGAGGAGACGCGGCCCGGACCCCCCAGCCGCGAGCGGCGGAGCATCGAGGCGCGGGAGGAGGAGGAAGAAGAACAGCAGGAGGAGGGAGAGGAGACACAGCAGCGGCGGTGGCAACCAAGAAGCGAGCGCAGGGCGAGCGGGAGGAGCGGGAGGAGGAGAAAACGCCGCGGAAGCCGCGGGCTCACTAGGGCCAGGAGGACGGCCCGGGAAGAGGAGGCGGAGGCGGAGAAGAAGGGAGTAGGGGTGGAGGGAGGGCGGGGGGACGCGCTCCTTTGGATGCTGGATTTCGGGTTTTTTGGACTCACTCGCTGACTCTTTCACTTCTCGCTCTGGACTGGGCTGGCCGCAGGAGGGCCAAGCAGCAGCAGCGAATAAGGGGGTTCCCGCGGCGGCAGCCGCTGCTCCGCAGGATTAAATTGGGCGCCCGGAGGCGGTGCCTTGGGCAGGCGCGGGCTGTACGGCCGTGGTGGGGCGCGAAGGCGCTGGAGCAAAGTACTGGTGGCTGCGCGGGAGACGGTGGCGGCGGCTGCCCGGCACCAACATGACCAGGTGAGTCCCCCAAGCTGACGCGTTCCTCCCCATCGTGTCTTCCCCATTTTGCTCCCGGGGCTTGCCCTTAGCCCTCCTTCGGCAGCTCCTGCGGCTCCCGGGGAGCTACACTCTCCCGCGCCGTAAGCCCAGCGCCCCGGCACCGGAGCGCACACAGTTTGCTCTTCTGAACCTCCTTGGGCAGAGGTCCTTCCCTACGCGGTTAGCTTCTCGCTTAAAACCTCAGACCACGGAGAGTGGCAATTCTAGAGAATGAGGGTGTTTGGGTGCATTTGGGTGACCCCACTTCCTCCTCCTGGGGTGGGCGTAGTATGGGGGAAATGGTGGAGCGGTGGGGCAATTCCGACTCTACCCAGGAATTTTGTCACTGCATGTATGTTACGTTGCAATGATGACTGTTTTAAGGAGAGCTGGTTACGGTGAGGGGGCAATTTCTTTTTCTTTCTTTCCTCTGAACTAATGAGGAGAAGGAGAAATAGCAGGAATCAAAGTCTGCGCGGCTGCCATACAGGAGGGGGATTGTTTTGGAGACCATTCCATAGCAAAATCAAAGCTCCTAGTTCTGCCACGGGAATCTGCTGTGTGCTTACACACTATTCCATAGGGAAGGGAACGCAGACTTTATAATAAAAAGTCCAAGTTGGAGGAGAACAATGTAAAAAGAAAGCTATGGAGAGGTTCTTTGCTTTTCTATCGATTTATTGTAGCTATTTTATAGGCATGTAGAAAATTTGTATTGTTTATCTGCGAGGTTGCTTTTCATTTAGAAGCTTTAATAAGTGAAGTCAGTTTTCTTATGCTTAAACAAAAAATTTTGAACACTAAGTGTGAACTTGGCTTTCATTAATTGGGTTTCCAGGATTCTGGATAGTACTTGCATTCTCCAAAACCCTGACTACCACAGTCCACTTGTATTGTTTCAGCTAGCCTCCCGGTACAGGACGTGCTAAATGCCTCCTCTGTTTTCTAAAATTCTTGGAGTGATCCCCCAGACCAATCTACACTTTGTGCCTTAGGTATCCAGGATTCCTGAGGGATCCCTCCCCTGTATTTTCTCTTTAAAGTTTTTTTTTGCTTTTACATGCTCACAGACACAGTACCAGCAACTTAACAGAGTGTAGCACATACATTTTGAGCCTCTCAGAGACTAGTAACTGCTTGTGACAAGATTGATTTGCTGGACTACCGTGTCTACAAATGTGGACCTTTCCCTTTGGTTTGTTCTTTCCAGCCATCCTGTAGCACGCATACTGGGAGCTAGTCCAACCATTGATACTTCTGATCATTTTGACTATTCTATCTGTGTTTCCAAGTGTACACACCCACCATGCAACTTGAGTAAAATCAGGGCGATGTACCAAGACTGGAAATATCCTGATTTAAAGGAATATTTAGATGATACCAAGTTAAAAATTGTTATGTTGGCAATATGAGGATATTCAGTACTATGCTTAGTAGATACTCTACTTATTTTGAAAAACATTCTGTTATATGCTGCAGATAGGTATTATTTTATTGACATAGCGTGAGAAGTAAATTGTCAGTGCTAGATATCTGAATTCTTGAACCAAACATCCTAAATGGAAAACAGAAAGAAAATTTCTTTACCTCCCACCTCCCCTAATTATGTACTGTTCTTTGCTTTTCAATGGAGCTAGCAATTCTGTGACAGATTTCTTAAATTCACCCTCATGCTATCAGCTATTATAGTACTTTCAAAGTGTGAAATTGACAAGCTGGTCAGTTTCATGAATTCAGCTGTCAGATTGTGTCCAGTTAAAAATTGCCTGAAGCTGTAAATGTGCCTTCCTGGAATTTTCTTTTGTAAGGGAAAGACAGCAAAGGGGTGAGAATTAAGGTGTGTTATTAATTGTAGATCTTTTAAAATAGGTGCACTCCAATGTGAGGTTTATCACTGGCTGTTGCTGGGAAATACCTCTCAATTTATACCATTATAAAAGTGGCATTCAGATTGTATCTGTATTTCATTTAAATAGTGAGCACTTACATAGAAATAATCTATTCTTAAAGCCCTCAGTGCTCTAGTATAAGAGGAATAAGATTAAAAAAGAAGTGTTTCTTTAATACATTTTAATATATATGAGTAATATATTACTTTTGTAATGACATGTAAAGAGGTGCATTAATTAAATATTTTTTTGTGGCAGTTATGTAACAAAATTTTCTTGGACCATTGCAGTTGTAGTTATTAAAGTAATGAAATACCATGATCTTTTTAATATGTATGTGTTTTCAGTAGATAACCATGAAAGTAAAACTGCTTAGAGTATTAAGTGCAAAGATTTGATTTGCCTTTTAAGATTGACATTCCCATTTAAAGCCAGCATATCTCAAAGTCGAGAACTAAGAATTGGAATCCCCTTGTCTGCTGCTATTTGCTAAGCCACTAGGGGCCTGTATAACTGTTCTTATGTCCAGGAGATACCCTTGTATGGCATATGCAAACCCTTCCTAGAGAGACAGTAAAAAAAATCAGCTAGACAGTCCCCTAAGTTTTTGTTTTGTCTCTTTAAACCTATTAACTCATGCCCTATTTTTAGTCATAGACATTGATTGAAGGGTTTTTCAAAAACATTATTTAGAACTTCTTTAAAATTATGCTGGTATAAGGATGATTTTTCATATAGAATGTGAAACATAGAAGAGGTATTTGTGCAAGTTCATATGTGATCCCAGTTTCTCAGTGTATGTCAAGGATAAACAAGTAGGAACATTAATAACTTTTCTTTATTGGACTGATAAAGAATGTTATTTGCATAATGTAGGGTTAAAAGATAAATGAAGCAGAATTACTTTAAGGAAAGTGTAGTCATAGATTGATGGTGTGATTAAGCGAGCTTTGTAAGTGCTGTGCAAGTTAGTATGGAAGGAGAATCTGAGGCCGGGACTACAGTTTAGTCAGCACTTGAGGGACCCGGACTGAAGAAGCTCTATACATTTTTAAGTGTCAGTTTCACAAATTTGAAATCGACCAGCCGTGGCAATCTTGATAGACATTAGGCAATAAGGTCAAGTATACTTACACCGTTCTTTTGTTGATTTTCAGTTTTTCAAACTGGCAAGGGTGACTGTTTGTAAAAGAGCACACTATAAGTATTTGCATATTGGATTTCCTTCAGACTAAACTTGATTTATCAAACCATTGAACAATTCTCTTTTTAAAAGGATTCTCTGGATAAACAAGAATTCATTACCACAATCACACATGAAAAGTGCAGTTTCAGGAAAGATGGCTTTCTCAAGGTGATTTTGCTTTAAAACTACCCTTCTGTAGTTTCAGAGTGTATTTGTGTGAAGTGTGAGTTCTAATTTATAATCCTGAGAACATCCAACTTTTAGTCTCACATCTTTAAAGCTATACATTTAACCTTCGGTCATGGGTGCACCTTCTTAATCTCAAAAGTTTCTGGGAATCTTGAAAATAAACTTTACCTTTGATGTAGTGTCCTCAGCTTCATGACCACAAAAAGATACTTTTAGGATTTGCACTATAAAAGCAGATATGTGAAGTGCTAAATACAAAGATACAATTATTCAGTTTTCGAGATTATTCAAAGAATGTTTTATTTTTTTCCTATTTTCTTAAAGGGACAGTATTTTCCGGTTGAAAAGTTTAGTGTGAGTCAATGAGTTATATTTTAAGCTAGGTCTACTCTGAGTAGTTTACTGCTTTATGGAGTTATTTACCTTGTTTTCATACTGTTTGGTTTCTTTGAAAAAACCTTTTAGGAAAGCTACTTACTTGTGAAGGCACAAAGGCAACTTGCAGCCTCAAGCAAAGTCAATGTTTAAAAACATTTCCTTTTATATTGTCAATGATTTGCCAAGAAAAAGCAAAGAGAAGAGTTGTTATTTCTGTGACCTACAAGATTTAGGATTTGTATAAAGCACATCAACTGAAGAAATCTGATAATGTGGAAGAAGATTGCTTAGGATTTGTCAGTAAATTTCATCCCAACAAACGTTACTTGTTTAAGCTTCTGTAATTTCATAGCATAGTGACATTGCTGTCAAAGGATAGGTTTGTTTGGGGATGTTTTCTATATGGGTAATCTCATTTGCTTCCAATTAGTATTTGTTAACACTTGTTAAAAAATTATGCTTGGCTTGACAGTCTTCCCTCCCCCCACATTTTTAACAATATGTTTCAGCTCTACACAATTAAACCCTTAAGAAAGATAGCTAAAAGAATATGTGGCTTGTGCTTACTGACTGTTCATTATATGAAATTATAGCCTCCCATGTAAAAGTTCAGCATTTTCTTTGCGTCATAAGTCTCGGGGAGGTCAAAGAGCAAATGCTTATGTGCTGCAACAGTCTCTGACTTAATGTAACCTAAATAATAAAGCATGACAATGGTGCTGTCTTGAAGCATTAATGAAATAAAATTCTTCCAAGATATATTTCACAAAATTACATTTAAGGCCTGTGCCTCTTTTTCCCTGTAATAAATAGTACCCACTCAATTTGATATATTCAATAGTCTGTTTGTTTCTTCTCAACATATTATTTATAAAATATTTCTAAGATTTATACATTAAAGAAATTTAAGTATTATGTCCATATACACTGCCACACTTCTCAAGGAATCTCACTGGTGAAAAAAAATGGACTAAAATAATGTGTGCACTGTTCTGCCTCCTTCTTCTTAAAATAATTCATTCAATAACTTTCTGGCCATTATTTTCTACTTGATGCTGATATGTATTTAATAGGATCATATAAGTACTTCTTAGTTGGTTTATAGCTTTACTAAAAGCAAAACAAAACTTTTTGGGGGAGGTTTTCAGCCTCTACTGTCCCCAAAATCAAATCCCTATGTATCATAGATTAGTACATTAAATGAAAGAAACAGCAATTTGGACAGCTAGGGCAACAGATTCTGTCTGTACGCCAGCAGATGAGGTGTTCCAGTAGCCAAATAGTATTGAGATATCTTAAATGTTCCTCAGTCCGCACCTGCAGTGAGCAAGCCATGC